TCCCATAGTTCTTGAGATAAAGATCCAAATCCTAATTATGATCCACAAGGCCTTATAAGAACTGGCCCCTTACTCAATTATGTGGTCTTACTTTCCCTTGCTCTGCATTCAGCCACATCAAGCCTTGGAATAGGCCATGGTTTAATTCACTTCTCACTTTCTTTCTTTTTTTTCCAAGGAGGATGGTATATAATATCACTTTATTTCACAGGGCAGAGGTTATGTAACTGGACACTACGTGAAGCATTAGAAGCCAACTGATACATATGTTCAGGGCAGGCCGCAGAGATGTTCCTCTTCTAGAAGTGCTGTTTTTTATTGTGGCTTATGGCAACCATGCAACATGCAGGGGGGTGACCCTGGAGGCCACATGGCCAAGCTGTTTTGTCCTAACTCTCCTCCTCCAAATATACCTTCTTTAGCCAGTAAGGGACTTTTATAAAAAGCCTTGTGGTTTTCATGAAAAACAAAACAAAACAAAACAAAAAAAAGCTACTACGCATTATACCTTTTGCCCCAAATCACCACAAAACTTGAACTATTTTGGTTAAATAACCCTTTAAAAGCCGACAGAAGAAAGAAACCTATTGTGAAACTGTCTAAATCCCTTGAATGTTATTTCCTCACAGTCAGACATGGTGAGAAAGCACATTCTTCTGGATTAATAATGAAGGTTTACAAAGCAGAGAAAAACTGTGTGGGCTTTGGCTGGCTGGCTCTCCCCTCAGGAGCCCTAAACATCATCTTCTGTTGCTTTTCCTGATATGAGAGGCTTTTCACATCTTGGAGAGCCTGATGTCATAGGTGACCATGTTGAAGTTGTCCCAGGGAAAGAGCTTCTTCTCCAGGCGGTTATAATCAAGCATGCTGCCGTACTTGTAGCGGTTCTTGAATGGGATGGTCAGGGCCTTGCTGTGCCCCATGCCTGTGTCATAGACAAAGCCGATGGTGGCATCAGGTGATAAGTACCTGCTGACAGTGTACAAGTAGCCACAGATGAGGAAGGCATTGGTTACTGACTGCTCATGGATATTAGTCTCCCAGGTTTGTTCAAGTTCCAGACTCTCTGGGTTCATAATGGCACCTTTGGCTTCCTGGCCACTGTATACTTCTCACTTCCTTGTGGAAGCTTTCTTGAATTTTCCTAAATCCCCTCTTATATTCTATCCTAGCCTCATGTCTTTCTCTTTCCAGTATTTATCTCAGGTCTAATTTTATATTTATGTATGTAGTTACTTGATTCATGTGTATCTTCTCTGCAAACTCAAAAGGGTAAGGGTCATGACTGTTTTTGTTCACCTTTGTAACTCCAGCAGAAAGCACAATGTCTGAAACAAATATTTGTTGAAATAATCATTCTAACTTCTACTTCCTTTAAAATCAGGGATCCCTGGGTGGCGCAGCGGTTTGGCGCCTGCCTTTGGCCCAGGGCGCGATCCTCGAGACCCAGGATCGAATCCCACATCGGGCTCCCAGTGCATGGAGCCTGCTTCTCCCTCTGCCTATGTCTCTGCCTCTCTCTCTCTCTCTCTCTCTCTCTCTCTCTCTCTGTGACTATCATAAAAAAAATTAAAAATAAAATCATAACAGTGCTTTATTGAATACTGTATTGAGTGCTTTCTATGTGCCAGATGCCATTTTAAGCACTTTACATATATCAAATCATCTCATTATTCCTCTTAATAGAGGAATGGGGAGGTAATGTAATCTGCCCAGAGACACAGCAGGTTACCAGCTAGTAAGTGACAGAACTAAGATTTGAACCCAGGAAGTCTGGCTTCAGAATCCAACTTCTTAAATATTATTATATTCTTTTTAATGCTCATATCACTGACTTATGATTTTCTTTTCTTTTAGGTTTTTATTTATTCATGAAAGACACAGAAAGGCAGAGACACAGGCAGAGGGAGAAGCAGGCTCCGTGCAAGGAACCTGATGTGGGACTCGATCCCGGGACTCCAGGATCATGCCCTGAGCCAAAGGCAGACGCTTAACCCCTGAGCCACCCAGGCGTCCCAAGTTATGCTTTTCTGATTAGAGTAATTTTATGAGAGTCTTTCAGACCTGGAAATAATCTCAGTGATCATCCTTTTTTCATAGATTGGATCAGTGATATCAAAAGAAGTGAAATATTTGCCCTCCCCACCATGACTTGCCCAAGATCACACTGTAGCTGGTAGCAGAATTTAGACTCTGTCATGTTTTCTGCTTTTTTCCTTGCCTTATATCAGCCTGGTGCCTCTTAGGAATGAGCTAAGATTAACTGGAAACATTCAGTTTTATTTTATAGACAAAAATTTTAGTGATATACCTGACATATAGTATAAAGATGTAGTACAACGTGTGAGAATTCTTTTTTGCAACTGTACAGAATGTGTAACTAGCTTTTATAGTGTGTGCGTGTGTGTGTGTGTGTGTGTGGAGTGGGGCAGCAGGGGTGGGTGCTGATTGTGATTCACTAGAGCTAAAGAAATGGGGAATATAAAAAATAGTGAAAGGGGTTATAGGAGAAAGGAGAGAAAATGAGTGGGAAAAATCAGAGAGGGTGACAAAACATGAGAGACTCCTAACTCTGGGAAATGAACAAGGGGTAGCCAAAGGGGAGGCGGGTTGGGGGATGGGGTGACTGGGTGACAGGCACTGTGGGGGGCACTTGACGATGAGCACTGGGTTTTATACTATATGTTGGCAAATCGAACTCCAATAAAAAATATACATTAAAAAAAAGCTAAAGTAAAGAATTAACAATCATCTGTCTCTTATCTTGGTCTTTGATTGCCTGAAGGAAAGGACTAGGATGGATCCAGGTTCAGTTCTTTAAAGTATATTGAAAGTGTTTGTCACCTTTACCTAAAGGTGTTTTTCATCAAGTACTTTGCTTGAACAGAAGAAAAAAAATATACTTTAACCCTGAGTTCATTTATACCTTTGGTTGTTTGATGGCCTGTGCACAAAGTAAGGTCTGTGGATCATCAGCACCCTCATTCTTGGAAGGTTGTTAGATATGCAGAATTTCTGGCCCTATCCCAGACCTGTTGAACCAGAAACTGCATTTTAATAAGATCCTCAGATGATTCACATGCACATTAAAGGTTGAGAAGTACTGCTCTGAGAGGGTCTGCCAAGAAAGAGACTGAAGAATAAGACTGAATGCCTTATACTGAATCACCTTACTTTTACAAGCATAATATTCTCTCAGCTGACAAATTAAAACATATACGTAGGATTCTATATATTATTTTTTTAAATTCCAAACTTGACAATAGCTTTTTCAATAGATAATCCTCATTGATATTTCACAAACACAAGAAATGCTGGAGTTGGAACAAACCTTGGAACCCATTAGTCTATCCTGCCTTCACTCAAATGGATAATACCTTCTATAGGATTCCTTTGTGGCCTCTGACTGAACATTTCCTGGAAAGGCAGAAGCTCACCAGATCACAAGGCATAACCATTCCTTGCCATTCACTGCTACACTTAACAATCTTAGTTCAGTTTTGACCACCTATCACCCGGACCACGGAAACAGTATTGAAAAATTGTCTCAATCTTTCTAATTATCCAAGAGACAGAACCATCTTCTGCAGTCTGCAGTCACACAGCAACATCTGTGGTGCTTGAAAATTCTGACTTCCTTATCAATTCACTACTATCCACTCTTGTGTAACTACCTTCTGTTTTCTCCGGTCTCATCAAACAGATCAGCTAATTACCCAAAGACTTGGGTAATCCTGCCTTTCGAATTTTGTGCAAGTCCAACTCCCCACTTAAATCCTGTTCTCCGTGTCACAACTTATGGAGTCCCAGACTTAGCTATAAAAATCCTATTAATTTTGCATCTCCTCACTCCCCTCAGCTCCTGGATATTCACTGATAGAGGTAACTATTCTTTTGTGTTTCTTTTTTCTGATTTTTATGAAACTAGAGAAGTTAACCCTGTTTGTCAAGACTCCTAGTTAAAGGGCAAATCCATCTAGAACAGGAGTCTAGTCCTTCATACAGCTTCTCATGGCACCTGGCTGCTCTCTTTATGTTCTACTTGGGAGGGGAAAGCCTTCTTTATTTTATTTTTATTTATTCATGATAGACATAGAGAGAGGAGGGGTGGGCAGAGACACAGGCAGAGGGAGAAGCAGGCTCCATGCAGGGAGCCAGACGCGGGACTCGATCTCGGGGACTCCAGGATCGCGCCCTGGGCCAAAGGCAGGCGCCAAACCGCTGAGCCATCCCCGAAAACCTTCTATCTATACCATCACCTGAGGTTCCGCAGGAGGGCCACCTGTGCAAAAACACATCCTTCCTAACTGCCTAAGAGTCTCATCGCCAGAATCTCATTAGCGCTCCCCTGGAGACTGAGACACTGCAGGTAAAAGTCGCAGATGGCTGCAGAGCCCCCATCATCTTCAAATTATTTTGCTAGGTATTGGTGTGGATACAGAGAGAATTATGATAAAGGCAAAGCTCAGAGCAACTTAGTCTTGCTGAAGACATCATGCTACAAAGAGACAAAAATTTTGGCCGCATTTAGTTCTCTTCGTTAAGTTGGGATCCCATAGATAGGTGCTTAGGTATCTGCTTTACCTACCCATCCCAGAGGGTAGAGGTAGGACATTGTGAAAAGACACCATAGTGCAAGGTGTTCCCCTCCAGGTGAGTTTCTCCTCAAATGCACCGTTTTAGAACGCGGACCGCCCTAACTTCTGTTGTTTACATATTTCTTGTGAGCTAACAGAGGGCAGAGATCATGTTTTATTTCCAGGAAGCACCGTGCTTGGCATTTAGTGATCAACAGAGAACGACGCAGGTAACCGACCCGCGCGCTGGCCCCGGGGCATTCACCGCCAACCAGCACAGGACCTCCGCTCCGCCGCCCTCCCTCCGACCTGCGCCCCGGAGCGGCTGCGCGCGCGCACCTCCGCAACTCCTTCGCCCCGCCCACGCGCCGCCACGTGGTCGAGGGCCGGGCGCACCTCGACTACGTCACCAGCACGCGCCGGGCCGCCGCGGTCCGCCTGGTCTGCCGGCCCCACGCTTCTCGCTTCTCCGCGAGCCGGCTGCTCGGTAGCCGCCACCGCTCAGGTCCGGAGGCTCGCGGCGTTCCGGGCTGTCGACATGTCGATGCTGGCTGAGCGTGAGTGGAGGGCGCGAGACTGAAGGTTCCAGGCGACGCCCCCGGGGCGGGCTGAGGGGCGCGGGGATGCGGGTCGCCGGTGCGCGGCGGGGCGGGAGGACGCCCCTCCGTGGGGGGGGGGGGGACACGGGACGGGGAAGCCCAGGTCGGCTCGCTCCGCCTGCCGCGGAGATTTCCAACGCAGCCTTCCCGGGAGTTAGCTGCCGGTCGGCTAGTGAAAGAGACGGTGTCCACGTGGGACTCCTGTGCTTGCGCTCAGATCCGGGCACGCGCGCGCGGTGGGTCGACCGGGAGCCGGGACGCCGGGCGTGCAAACCCTGAGCTGTTCTCTCCCTTCGCCGGGCCTCAGCTGCTTCTGCCTACCAAGAGGCGGTAGTGGGGGATGCCTGGGTGGCTCAGCGGTTTGGCGCCGCCTTCGGCCCAAGGCGCGATCCTGGAGTCCCGCGTCGGGCTCCCTGCGTGGAGCCTGCTTCTCCCTCTGCCCGTGTCTCTGCCTCTCTCTCTATCATGAATAAATAAATAAATGATCTTTTTTAAAAAAAAAGCAGGCGGTTGGGCCAGCGGAGTCTTTTCAGGCGGTGAAATCCTGCTCTCGAAGACATCAAACGCAAGAAGTTAGCCTTTTTTTTCTTTTTTCTTTCTTTTTTTTTTAAAGAGGATGCAGGACTAACGAGTGATTCTGAGTAAGACTGGCCGTTCGGACTTAGCTGGAATTGTTAACATTCTTGCACGACAGAAGTGTTGGCTGCAACGCCGCAGCTCGCTTCAATTTGACTGTTGTCTTCGCGAAGTTCCTGAATTCATTCATATTCTCTCTCTCTGTCTCTCTCTCTCTCTCTCTCTCTGTCTCGGAGAGGCTGTTTGACTTTTTCGGGATGTATCTGTAGCTAAAAGTTGCCTGTCACCAGATGGCAGTCGAGCTTTGCTCAAGAAAAGCCGGCCCATCACTTTTTTTCAAAGTGTGTAATGGGCAATGAACAGAAACAGCTTGTTTAACAGATCAACAGCAATCACACAGGGGTTCAATGAAATAAATGCTGTCAGCATCCTCTTATCTAAGAAAGTGGAAGAATGGGAGCCCGGAACACAAGGAGGAAGGCACCGTTCCCTTTTTACAGCAGTTGAAATCCAGGTTCAGAAGAAAATAATTTGTCCCGAGTCTTTGAGCTAGAAAGTGACAAATTTGATCTAGTTATCTCTGTGTCTTTACCTTTTTTTTTTTTTTTTTAGTCACTGGGCCAGCAGTTTATTGTTTTAAAACAGACTTCTGGAAAAGAGTATGTTTTAGACGGACTCTGGGCTCTGTTTCTTCATTTGTGGAACTAGGGCTGCTAGGATCTTTTCTGGTTTTAATATTCTCTGATATATGATTATTTCAGCATACACATTGGCCCTGGCTCCGCTGTTCATTTTTGTATCTTCCATGATCAGTTTCTTCCGGGCTATTAAAAAACTTCTTTTATTATCTTCATTACTAGATTGGCTTTTTAAAAAAAATCCGTGAGATAGTGAACATGAAACGTTTCAAAATATGAAATACTTATTATAAAGGTGTGAAATGCTGTTTGTAGACATCAGTAATTCAAATTGCATGATTTCAAGGGAATACTTTCAGTTCCTCTCTCCGCACTGTGACTCCAAATTTTCAAATCTTTGCCATGACAATATATGATATTTTGTGTTGTCTTTTAAAATCACTTGCTGTTTGTCTTTGGCATCCCTTGTGATTAGATGTTCTTATTTTATTTTAATAAGACTGGTGTTCTTGGGGCACCTGGGTGACTCCGTCGGTTAAGCGGCTGCCTTTGGCTCAAGTCATTATTCCAGGGTCCTGTTTGAGCTCTGCTGGGCTCCTTGCTCAGTGGGGAGTCGGCTTCTCCTCCTCTCTGCCACTCCCCCTGCTTGTGCTCTCTTTGTGCTCTCTCGCTTTTTCAAATAAATAAAATCTTAAAAAAATACTAAATAAAAGATTGGTGTTCTTAATTTATTTTAGTTTTTTAAAGATTTATTTATTCGGCAGAGAGAGAGAGAGAGAGAGAGAGAGAGCATGCGAGCTCGAGCAAGCGAGGTAGGGGTTGGAGGGCAAAGGGGGAGGGAGAAAATCTCAAGCTGACTCCCTGCTGAGCGTGGAGTGCAAATCTCGAATCCTGAGATCATAACCTGAGCCAAAACCAACTGATGCTCAACCAACTGAGCCACCCAGGTGCCCCAGGATTGCTGTTCTTATTTTAGAAATAAGAAAATAGGAGCAAAGAAAAATGCTAGTCTCATAATTTCACTTCCTAGCAATTATTTTTTTCTTCTAGTTTATAAAATTGGGGTAATTCTGTAGGTACAGTCTCCCCCCACTTGACATTAGTGAACATTTTCAATTCATTAAGCATGCCGTTTCCTCGGTTTTCCTTTGCCATGTTGACTGTATTTTGTTTTATTTTCGCCATAGCCACTTATCCTGTTTTTAAAATCGAATAGTTCTCTTTCGGTGTCTCAAAAATATTTTTTATTAGTATTTCTGTAATTATCAAGTGTTATTTGAGAGTCTCCCTTATGTAAGTAAGACAAGGAATCTAGCTTAGATAAACCTCCCCCTATGTAAGACAAGAATTTACTCACTTCCCAGTCGTTGCGTTATTTGGAGTTTTAGACACGGATTTTTATCAAGTTACTCCTTTTTTCATAGATTCTTTTCTTTTTAAGACCATTTTTGTATACTTCCAATCATGTTTGTAGTCAAATCACACTATAATTAATGGATTATAATGCTCATTGCATTAAGATTTTGTACTGCAGTTTCCTTTAGTTTGATTATTGTTTTGAATTTTTAAATAGGAATACATGGTACGTGGATGGTATATTTTGAGCTCTTGAATATCTCAAGACAAAAAGACAAAACTGTTCCTGGCTCTTAGGACTCAACATACCTTTCAGAGTAAGCTGAATCCTGGCATAAACCAGGTGGTATTAGGCATGGAGTGATTGAAAAGTGAAATCTCTTATAGCTCTTTTAAGGAGGGTTGTTTATTGGGGTTACCCCAAAAGTGTCCTGATCTACATCTACAGTTAGGTCTCCGCGTAGGGGGAGTCCCTGCTAGAGAATAAATACATCATCCCAAGTAGTGATTCTGCAAATTCAGGGTACTCTCCCCTGAGGCCCACGTCTGTCACTTATATTGCTGTTCCACATAGTGTCAGGCATGCAGAACAAAATCAGCAAGTGGAAAAGATACATGGAGCAAAGTCCAAGGCAAACCAGACCCAAGCTTCCAGAGTCTTTTCTCGGTGAAGTCAGATAGGACATTCTTCATTACCCTAGTACAAGTTGTGATAACACTTGTGAAGTGTTGCAAACCAGGGAAGTTTGTTAGGGACTGCTGTTACGTTTGCTGGGGGCTGGTCTTTAGGCAGGCTCTGCTTGGCATATACCAAAATTCCTGACTCCCAGAAGGAAAACCGAATATTCAGTATAAACCATATTGTTTATATAAATAGGCATAGTGAACCCTTCATCAATTCTGAGAATGCTAGGAACCTTCCTGAAACCCAAGTTCCCAGCCAAGTTGCTAACCTTGTACGCAAGCCTTCTGAACACTAGCAGGGAGGCCAGCAATGCTCCGTTCTGCATATAGGGTTAGCAAAGCTGAATAACTGGAATAAGAATAACAACACATATGTAAATGTTGATCCAATCTGAACAGACCAGTGACAGTCTTTTTCTTGCCAGGATTTCTCAAACCTGGAAACTTCTACAGCATAGAGCCAGAAAGTGTTTCAGGAAAGTAGGGTTCTGATGGCATGCCTACTTGCCCTAGGAGGATCTACATGTCTGAGTAGTAAAGATTCTGGGAAAGTCTCTAATATGGAATACTATTAAATTTCCTTTCACCCATTGTTGCCCTTTTTTATTTTAAGGGAAGGCACCGCTCCCCCTCCCCCTCCGTTTAACATCCTTATTGAGGAAGCCCTATCCTACCCCATTGGTTGAGGATATCTGACATTTCTGCCGGAACTGACCTTGGGGGTCTTTTGTATAAGCACTATTTATTATCTGCTGCGTACACATATGTAACATAAACTGTTAGAGTTTTTATTGCAAGGGGTGGCCTCATTCATTCTCAGAAATGTTTAAGCCCTATTCAGAACCCCCTGGCAAGCACTACTTACTGTATGGAGGCATGAATTCTGATACACCAGTAAGCAGCCTTATGGAGAGAACACTGGTTAACAAGGCTCTGATCTAGTATGTTGTTTATTAGCAGAGGCAGCGTTAAGCTATATATTTGCTAAGATAGTAAAGTAGTAACTTAGGGATGCCTGGGGGGCTCCGCGGTTGAACGTCTGCCTTCAGCTCACAGGATCCGGGATCAAATTCCACATTGGGCTCCCTTTGGGGGGCTTGCTTCTTCTTCTGCCTGTGTCTCTGCCTCTCTCCCTATCTGTATCTCTCATGAATAAATAAATGTTAACCAAGAAAAGTAACTTAGCCATGGTTAGCACTTTTGGGTCACATTTTTCCTGCAAAACTGTAGATTTGAGCCCAACTTGTTTTGCTTTATAAGTAGCCTTTTTCTGCATGCTTGTAAAAGGTTTACTTATTTTTGCTAGGATGTATGTAGTTTGGGTCTCTTTATTGATTTTACGTGGAGTAAAATTAGCCCTCTGACTGGAAGTTGTGTTATTTTTACATTATGTTGTGAAGGTGTGAGGGTGATCTGGCTGTGACATCTGTTACTCCATTGATTGCCAGGGTTGATTGGGCTGATCTAGGCGGGAGTCCCCTTCCTCACTGCTCCATGTTCGCCTCTCCTGAAACTGCATGCTAGGTTGAAGAGGACGACCTTCCTCAATACAGGAGGGATAAGGAGGACCTTTCTTTGGTCAAGGGTATATGAATGGCTATGCTTCCCTGCTAGAACCTTTAAACAAGCTTTCAAGGTCCATTTGTAGGAGGATGTAGGGTAGTCCAGCTTCTAAGATTCCAGACACATCTAAGTGAGGTGCTGTATGTATCAGCCTACCTTAAAGAAAGAAGGGAGGGGAGGAGGGAGGATGAAATTACAAGACTGTTGTTGATAGTGAGACACTGCGCTTTGGTTGTTGCAGTAGGTGAATAATAATGAGGACCTCCAAATTTCTTACTTGGCCATAATTAACTTTGAGGCTTTATGTTCTTGTTCTATGAACTTTTGAGGTTCTGTATCTCTGGTCATTTTCCTTGAAACTACAGTTATAAATTTGAGTTCCTAATGGTCAGTTACTGGTATGCATTTAAAAAATACTTAATATGAAGGAATTCAAAGCAGTTCCCTTAATTATCTTCCTTCCTTCCTTTCCTCTTCTTTTTTCATTTCTTCTCTTTCTAACTCAGTCATACCTCCATTTACATGTTTACTGAGTGCCTGCTGTGGGCACAGTATTTTCTGTTTCTTGAGGCATAAAAAAGAAAAACACACAAATATGAGCCATAAGGAAATGATGGTCTAATAGAAAACATAAGAGATATAAAAGCCACAGTACAGAAGAATGTGAGTTAAATGCCAGAAAAGCAGCAGATAATTTTTTCTGGAAGTTCAGAGAAGGGGGCATGTGGCTTTAGGGCATTTCAGTGACGAGGGATGGTATCACAAGTGTCTGTCGATCACAGTTATGGAGGGTATAGTTGACTCTCCTCAAGATCATAATGAATATAAGGGAAGGGAGAAGAAATGTGTGGGAAATATCAGAAAGGGAGACAGAACATAAAGACTTCTAACTCTGGGAAATGAACTAGGGGTGGTGGAAGGGGAGGAGGGCGGGGGGTGGGGGTGAATGGGTGACGGGCACTGAGGGGGACACTTGACGGGATGAGCACTGGGTGTTATTCTGTATGTTGGTAAATTGAACACCAATAAAAATTAATTTATTAAAAAAAAGAAGGATGAGGAAGCAAAAATAATAGAATTTAATAAACATAAAAACCAAAAAAAAAAAAAGATCATAATGACTGTGGATTAAGAATATAAGCTTTGACGTCAGTTGAACCTTGCTTTGTATGGAGGCTCCGAGTTTTGCTTGGGGGCATTAGACACATTTCTTTAAATCTCAGATTTTTCTTGTCTGAAAAATGGAGATCAGGATGTCCATCCTCATTGGGTTACTGCAAATTGAGTACAACGTATGGATAGCATTTGGTATGTGACGTATGGGAAGGAAAGCTGTAGTGGCTGCTGTTGCCACTGGTGATGGTGACGCCCGTGTTGATAAGTGCTTTCAGTTTCTACCTAGTTGAGTGTGGAAGGCCAGGTGATGGTAGATCATGTATTTTTGTTTGTCACATATGGAGGGAACATTGTTATTCTTATCTTAGGCCAATTTGTATATGGAAGCCAGGGTAAGTGTTCCAGTCTTATGATATTTCATCAAATGTTGAATCCAGTATCTGTATGTAATAAAACATATTGTTTGTCACATTTTTTGCAAGTATGTGTGTACATATTAGGTCTCCTGTATATTTGTGTAGTATTTTCCAGGTTTGAAAGATGAGTTGCCGATGAGATACTTTGTTATTTACAGGTCGGAGGAAGCAGAAGTGGGCTGTGGATCCAAGAAACACTGCCTGGAGCAATGATGATTCCAAGTTTGGCCAGAGGATGCTAGAAAAAATGGGGTGGTCTAAAGGAAAGGTATGTTGGAGAAGAGCAAAAGAAATTGGAGCAAAAAAAAGAGGCAAATCAGGAGGACACATCTTTCTTTGGAGACTGGGAGAAATTTGTATTTTAGATAAATAAGTTATTTTGGAGAAATAACTGAATTTAATGATAAAGTTAGAATTGAACAGGAAAGTCAATTCTCTTTATCATTTAAACTGCCGTGATTGGCATCTTTCATAAATTGTACCTAATTAGCTGCACTTAGAATCCTACTTAACCTTCAGTGTTTTATGTTGCTAAGAGTAATTTTGTTCCCCTCTATAGCTTAGAATACACATTTTCTTGTTTTCCTCACACTCCATTTATTCTTGACTGAAATATGATTTCTACTGTTAACTTTGTGTTTAAATGGTTCCTTTGAAGGACTTTAATGATCTTGTTGACAAATCCAGTAGCTCCTCTTTTTGTTCTCATGTTATTCAGTCCCTTAGCAGATTGGACGTAATTGACTACTCTACTCTTGAAATACTTCTGTCTTGGCTCCCGCAATACTGCCCTCCCATCTGTTTTTCCCCTTTGCCTCACTGGCCACTCCTGAATGTGTTGCTGGCTCTTCCTCCTCCAGGCTTTTGAGCTTTGGAGCTCCTCAGGGTTCAGCCCTGGGCTTTCTTTGTGGTCTGCTCAGGTGAGCACTTTCATTCCATACCATGCTTTGAATTTTCTAAATTCTGAGAGCTATCCCTTTTCTCTTTTCTTTCTTTCTTTTTTTCTTTCTTTCTTTCTTTCTTTCTTTCTTTCTTTCTTTCTTTCTTTCTTTCTTTCTTCTTTCTTTTTTTCTTTTCTTTCTTTCTTTCTTTCTTTCTTCTTCTTTCTTTCTTTCTTTCTTTCTTTCTTATTTCTTTCTTCTTTTCTTTTCTTTTCTTTTCTTTCTTTTCTTTTCTTTTCTTTTCTTTCTTTTCTTTTCTTTTCTTTTCTTTTCTTTTCTTTTCTTTTCTTTTCTTCTTTCCTTTCTCTTTCTTTCGCTGTCTCTTTTCTATACGTGGTCCAGATCTGTCCTCTGAGTTTCACATTTGTAAATTCACCAGCCTGCTTGACATTTCCACTTGAGTAAGCACCTCAAGTTTATCATTTTTGTTATAAAACTCTTGATCCACCCCCCCCCCCTTCAATCTTTTGCTTCTCAAGTCTTCCCTGTTTGTGCAAATGGTCATGCTTGGTTCCTCTAGCTCTCTCACTTCTCGCATCCCCAGTCATTACTTCTCCCTCCCCAGGGCCCTGTCCTGGGCTACATACCATCATCGCTGGCCCCAGTCACTGCTGCAGCCTCACAGCTGCTTCCCTCCCCTCCTTCTGTTCTTCCTCTGGGCCATTTGCCAAACAACAGCCACAATACCTTTTAAAATACAAAAATTAGATCATGGCATTTCCTTGCTTAGAAGTTCAGCGGTTTCCTGTTGTTTTAAAAAATTAAATCCAAATTCCTTCCATAATATTCAAGGTCCTGTGAGGTCTGTCTCTTTCATATCATCTTATTTTCTCTTTATCCACTTAACCTAGAGCCAACCTGGTTGCCTTTTAGTTTCTTCAGTACACTTAAGTTCTCTGGGACACTTAACAATATGAGTGTTAATTGATGCAGGGGACTTGGGGTCCCCTTTCTCCACTTTCTCAATGTTGTCTTATAAAATTATTTAATGGAGAGAGCCATAGATTTGTAATATCTCTAATGGGCTTTGATTAGTTTGGTGGTAGTACTCTGTGAGCATCACAAAAAGGCATATTCTCCACAGTGTTTACATGGTCCGTGAGGTGGGTGTCAGGTTGAAGAATTAGCATTTGTTACTGTGTGTATTGGTATTACAGACGTACTTTGGAAGACATACATCCATTAGACTGTGTCCTCTTTGAGGGTAAGGATAGTGCCTCACTCCTGGATATTTAATAATTGAATGGTTGATGAAGAAAGATGCAATCTGTCTTTATACCTAATAAAAATGCTAATTCTCTATGTGTTTGATCTCCACAGGGTTTAGGGGCTCAGGAGCAAGGAGCAACAGATCATATTAAAGTTCAAGTTAAAAATAACCACCTGGGACTTGGAGCTACAATCAATAATGAAGTGAGCAACACTGTGTCTACTGGGGTCTTTTTCTGCACTATTTGCTTTTTTATAAATATAAACATTTTAATCCAATCAGATTGATCAGCTTTCAACTGTTCAAGGGTGTATCCTCCATGTTATGGTTAACTAAAGAGCCCATAACTAAGCTGGCTCTTCATCACATCACGTGCCTCCACCTTCCCTTGTTGTCCTTATAGTATTCTTTACTTGTTTATGTCTGAGAGATCCAAATTAGTTTTATTGCTAAACTTTGAAAAGAATTTTCTTTTTATAAAAACACTAATTTTGGTTACAGTAAGGAATTTTCATCTTTACCTGTGTTTTGATATTTGTTTATATTATTAAAAGTTGGTAGTGTTTAGTTTCAGAAAGAAACTAAATGTCTTTTCTGCAAGAAAGTGGTGACTTATCTCTGTACCAGTTGTCTAGTTCTGACTCTTGGTGTTCAGCAGTTGAATTTATTCACATTTCCCCTTAAATACTGATGCTTTGAAAACATAACAGTGTAATTAAAAATTAATGGCCCAACATGCTTTTCATTTTCAGTATTACTGTTTACCTTATAAAGTGCCTAAGCCGAAAGCTTTGTTTTAAATTTTTACGGCAACAGAATCTGATAGGAAATCTGGAGAACTGTTTTAATTTGGTAATTTAATTTGGTAAACCAAATTATTTTGATTCAGTATACTAAGTAATGGACTAGAAATAGTAATCATGCTGATAGAGTAGCTAAAATTTTAAACCACTAAAGAAAGAGTTTATATGAGGTTGGCTTTGAAGGTGGTTGTTTAGAGATAGATGTATAGATGCACTTAATTTTTTAGAAGAAGCATTGCCCAGTATGCCTATTTAATATACCTTAACCTTCATCATCTTCAGAAGTGTGTATGAGGCAAGTTCCAACATTGATACCTTGCTTCCCCTTGGTTTAGATTGTTTTGGAGATGCTATTCTCTTTTAAAGTCCAATTGTTTTTGTTATAATGAATGTGTTAGTACTGCAAGGGTGCTCCAGCGTACTTGGGAGCCTTTCCTACTCCCTTCCTCTGTGTTCTTTTGTAAAATTGGGGTCAACATGAACAGATAGAGTTAGGCAAAATATTTTAAGTGCACGTGAGCAAAGAAGAGAGCCCTGAAGTCTGTTGCTGCTTTTTTCCCTTTGACTTACATAATATTCTCATAGTGAGAGAAAAATAATAGTTTTATTTTGCTTTATTATAGTATTTAGCAAAGAGGTTGCCTGTTGATTATTTGGTTATAAGTGGACTGTTGATAAGTTATCCACATTTGAAGGTTCCAAGAAGCCTATTTTTAAATTTTTTTTTTAATCTTGTAAGTCAATCAGATAAAGACAATTATCATATAGTTTCACTCACGAGGAGTATAAGAAAGAAACAGTGCAGAGGACCATGAGGTAAGGAAATGGAATGGGAAGAAATCAGATAGGGAGATAAACCATAAGAGACTCTTAACTATGGGAAAAACTGAGGGCTGGAGGGGGAGGTAGGAGAGGGAATGGGGTAACTAGGTAACAGGCATTAAGGAGAGCATGTGATATGATGAGCACTGGGTGTTTGTTATATGCGACTGATGAATTACTGAACTCTGTCTCTGAAATTAATGATGTTCTGTATGTTGCCAATTGAATTTAAATTAAAAAATTAAAAAAATTTAAATTTGATTTTTTAAAATATTCTGAATTTTTAAAAATATTTATTTCAGTGTGTGGTTGGGGAGGTGCAGAGAGAGAAAGAGAATCTCAAGCAGATTGCCTGCTGAGTATGGAGTACTTCACTGACATCATGACGCAAGCTGAAATTGAGTTGGATGCTTAACTAGCTGAGCCACCCAAGCACCCCAAAGCCTATTTTTCATATTAATATAGATAAATTAGATTTCAAATTTGTATTAATTTCTTCATTCAAATTTATAGCATAATATTTTCATGAAACATTTAAAATTTCACATTAACAACCAGATTTCCTTGCTTCTAAAGTGTATCTTATCTCAACCAGTGTATTTAAACTCTAGGCTTGCCTTTAATTGATTTTTTGGGGTATTTTTAGGATAACTGGATTGCTCATCAGGATGATTTTAACCAGCTTTTGGCTGACCTGAACACTTGCCATGGGCAGGAAACAACAGGTAGAAAAACCTTTGCTTTGTTATCCATTAGGTTTATAGAAGATGTAATGTCTCAATTTTTACCAACTCCTTTTACTGTAAGCATAATATGTCTGAAATTGAAGGTATTACAGATAGCCATTTCTGTATATGTTTAATGGTGCTCTCACCATTGAAAGCAAATACTTTTTTCTCAGTAGGAGTTTGAGAATGGCAAGGTAAATCAGTTTACCACCTCAACTAGTAAAGTCATTCCCAGGGATCCCTGAGTTGTGACTAAAAAGTTGCTTTTAAAATACAAAACAAGAGAAAAAAATAGAAAGCAAGAAGTACCAAGTGGGACCACAAACCAAAGCCAGCTTTTCTTCATAGAAAAGCCTTTTTGTATTGATTCTACGTAGTGAAGTGCATTGTATCTTTGAATGTATGTCAGAAATTCAGAATACTCTGGTATAGTAAAATTTGTTACAGGGGATCAGTACTAGAAATTGTGTATCTAAGGCCTAGAAACTGGAAATGAAACAATTGAATATTGGGCATTACACATTAAATTAAGAGAAAGATAATACTGTTGAGGGGAAGGACATGGATGGTAGAATCCTCAAACTTGTGGGCCTTTGGTTTAATTTTCGAGTTTAAGGGAAGTTTTTTGTCACATGGCTCTTAGGAAGGCAGGGATGTAACTTCAGTTAATTTTGCCGGTTATTCACTGAAGAAATATTGACAGCTCTTCTGCAAACAGGTTTTTAAAAAACATTGGTAAAATATACATAATATAAAATTAACCATGTTAACCATTCTTAAGTGTACAGATCAGTGACATTAAGTACATTCATACTATTGTGCAACTACCACACCATCTATCATAAAACCCTTCATCTTGTAAAATTGAAACTCTGTCCTCTTTAAATATAAACTCCTCATTTTTCTCTTTCTCAGACCCTTGGCAGCCATTCTACTTTGTCTCTGAATTTGACTACTCTAGATACATCATATAAGTGGAATCATGCAGTATCTGTCCTTCTGTGTCTGGGTTATCTTACTTAGCATAATGTTCTCAAGGTTCATCCATGTTGTATCATTGCCTTTCTTTTAAGGTTTAGTAGTGTTTCATTGTATGTATAGACCACGTTTTGTTTATCATTCATCCTTCAGTGTGTACTTCGGTTGTACATCTTGGCTCTTGTGGATAATGCTGCTGTGAACATGAATGTATAAACATCTCTTTAAGTCCCTGCTTTCAGTTCTTTGGGATATATATCTAGAAATGGTATTGCTGGATCTCATGTTAATTCTATTTTTAAGTTTCTGAGCAACTGCCATTGTATTTTCTATAACGACTACACCATTTTAAATTTGCACCAACAGTGCACAAGGCTTCCAATTTCTCTATATCCTTGTGAATGCTTGTTATTTTCTGGGTTTTTTATTTTGTGTAGTTTTTGTTTCGTTTTTTTGATAATAGGCATCCTGATGGGTGTGAAATATCTCATTATGGTTTTGATTTGCATTTCCCTAGTGATTAATTACATTCAACATCTTTTCATATACTTGTTGGCTATTTCTATGTCTTCTTTGGAAAAATGTCTTCAATTCCTTTGCCCGTTTTGAACTGGGTATTTTGTTGTTGAGTTGTATTCAGCAAATAGTTTTAAAAGGAATTTCTTTCTGTTCCCCGTGCACAATGTTTGGATAATGAACTATCAAAAGATGTTTGTTCAATTAAAAGAGGAAGAACTTTGTGGAATGAAATTAAAAATTAGCCAAGTTCAGCAAACATTCGTTGAGCTGCATGCTGGATCCCAAGTTAGGCATGAGGATATGTAGCTATATGGGGCAATCCTTGCTTAGGTAGCTAGCAGGATATGCTGGTCATTGGTAAAATCATAGTGCAGATCCAACTCTAGGAAGATTTGCAGTGCGGCATGTGGGACTGAGTCCAAAGGCATGCAGGGAAAGGTGCTGTTTGTATTTTCCCTGATTCCTTCTTGTTGGAATCTGTAAGTTGGATAGTTTCCCTTATCCATGGAATAACTATTAGAAGTATCCTAACAGTTCTCTGTAAAAAGATATGTGGTCCTAATATAAAAGATTTTGTTAGAGAGGAATATAAGGAAAATGTTTTGTGAAAACACTACCTAGATTGGTGTTAGGAATGTGGGATTTATGCAGTAGTAAAACTCAAGGACCCAGAGACATCTTTATATTCAGGATGTCAGTTGAAATCAGTAGAAAGACAGATATGAGTGCAAATGTGATCATATAAGACTTAAAAGGTTTTGACTGAAGAGTAATGGAGTGTCCTGGTTTAGAGACGAACACTCAAGCCATACTGCCTGGATTTGAATCTTGATTCTGATGTCTGTACTTAGGTGACCTTAAGTAAATTACTGAACATCTCTGTCTCTTGGTTTCTTCTTTGGTGAAAGGGAGATAATAGTACCATCCTTGAAAGGTGTTTGTGAGAATTAAATATATTACTATGACTAAAATATTTTGAACACTGCCTATTCTATAGTAAGTACTTAATATACAGTAGCTGCTATGATCTTTATTATTATTGTTATGTGTATAGATGGAACTCCAAAGTAGAATATTTCCTCTGATTACTTTTAGTAATTAGAATATAGTGCCTTGAATAAAAAGTGATACTTGTAGGTGGATGCATTTGGGCTTGATACTTAGGCTATTCCTAGTTGTCATTAATGAAATCAAAGGCAATAATGTGCTTTCTCCCCAGATTAAAAAAAATAGAACGCTCTTATGATAATGAACATTATAAATAGCTGTACTTGGTGGCAGCGAGATGTAAATACAATTTGAAATCTTTATATGACTGATGGATGATCTCCAGTTATTTTAAGGTAAAAAAAGAAGATGAAGAACTGTATGTATGGCATGCATTTGTAGAAAAATATAGAGAGGAAATGCATGCGTGTGTGTGGTTGGGTATACATATCAGTGACTTTCACTTAGGAGTGATTTTGACAATGTTTGGAGACATTTTGGTTGTTACAACTGGGGGTGGGGGTGCTTCTGGCATCCAGATACTGGCCAGTGAAGCTGTTTAGTATCCTGTTGTGCACGTGGATAGCCCCCAGTGATAAAGACTTAACTGGCTCCAAATATCAGTGGTGTTGGCTCCAAATATCAGTGGTGCTGAGGTTGATATACCTAGAATAGCTTCAGAATATCTATTCTGTAAATATTTTATATACATAAAATACTGCAGAAAAATACTGAAGAAACTGGTAAGAGTGATTGCTTTTAGGAAGGGAGCTAAGTACTGGGGCAGAGGGATGACAGGACAACTTCGCTTTTACTGTAGTCCTTTTGTACCTTCGTGACTTTGTACCACCTGTGTTATATCCTACTCAAAAAACTGTTTAAAACCTAATTTTAAAACTGTTCCTTGAGCCCATTTATCTCATTTACTGCCACTTCTCTATACTTCTGCTCCCTTTTGCCACAAAACTCTAAATTTTCTATCCATTGATTTCAGTTCTAATTCTCTTCTTTTAAAAACTTGTAATATGCCTTGAGTCATGTGGATGGTCTGCTTAGTTGTTCCACCTCTCTTTTGCATCTTCTAGAATTGACAGACTCTCAGTGGGGGTGCAGGAGGAGGAGCCCCAAACATCACACTCACTTCTCTGGATTTCCGTACCGTTAATTGCTGCTTTGCTCTGCTCTGCTTTGCTCCACTGTCATGTCTTTGGGCCATCCACCCTTCCCCTCCAATATTGTGTTGTAGTTTTCTTTGCAAGAGAGACAGTTGAAATGAGCCAGTTCACCATTACTAGAAGCAGGACTCTACCTAGAATATTTTTTAAAAATAAACTTCATTGAAGTATAATTTATATATAATACAATACAATGTACTCATTTTTGAGGGTACATTTCCGTGAGTTTTGGTCAATGTATATACTTTTGTAATTGTAATAACCTTGATAAGGAAATTTTCATCATTACAAAAAATTATCTTGGGTCACTTCCCAGTCAGCCCCCTGCTCCTCCCTCCCCGCCCACCCTCGCCCCCTACTTCATTCTCTGGCCCCGGTCAACCCCTGATTTATCCATATTGATTAGGTTTCTATTTTCTTTTCTGCCTGTCATATTTTTCCCAGCATGATTCTGAGATTTATCCATGTTGCATTTATTAATAGTTCATTTCATTCCTGAATAGTTTGCCATTGAGTGTGCCATAATTTGTTTATGCATTCACCTGATGATGGACATTTGGTTGTTTCCAGTTTTTGCTTACTGTACCCAAAGCCGCTGTGAACATTTGTGTATATATCTTTTTGTGGACATGTGTTTTCATTTCAGTAAGACCTCCCCCAACCCTGCGCACTTTGTGGGTTCCCCTCCTTATGCCACATCCAGAAATTGCCTCTTGACAGAAAGCCAGGCAGTCCTAGAGCTTACATCATTTTGTTGCCCATCTGTCAAGGATGACAGTCCTGTACTGCCTGTTGTCCAGTGTCTGATGAGTTGGTTCATATCTTTTGTTTTCCCATTACTTGTAGTAGAGGGGCATGACTCATAGCAGTTACCCTTTCATGGGCAGAAGATAGGGAATCTTCCTCCTGTCTCTTTTAAGTCCACTTCAGTCAGACTTTGCCTTATTGCTCCACAGAAACTGCCCTTGGCAAAGTTACTAGCGACTTCATGTTACTAGATCCTGTGGGCATTTTTGAATCTTCATTTTACCTCACCTGTGGCAGGTAAGGTAACCTGCCACAGGTGATGTTCACCCTTCCTTGAATCACTCACTTGCCATAGCTTCCAGGACCCCACCATCTCCTGCTTTTCTTCCTGCTTCACTGGCCACTCCTCTTTAATCTCTGCTGCGATTCTCTTATCCCAGCCTTGTCATGTCTGGGGGCCCTCCAGTTCAGTCCTGGGACCTCTCTCATCTTTTAGCTACACCAGTTCTTTATTACATGATGGCTGGATATAAACCATGGCTGGAATGTTTGGTAATTTATTGAGACTGTGTTACCTTCTCTCCTAAACTC